CAAGTATAAGTATGTATGTATTTGTTTACATACCTACATATTTAGATGAATTTACATGAGGGAGTTCCAAAAATGCATTTGAAAAAGTAAAGTCGGAATTTTATTGCTCTGACTATACCACAAAATGCATCCCTCCTTTATATTTAAATCAAAAAATATATAGAGTAAATCAAAGCGCTCAAATCAGTAACACAACCCTTTTCACATTCGAAAATGCATATTTTTCCCAGGGCGATGTCCTGAGAAAAGTGGGGCATTCAATTTTGCATTACCTAGTACCGAGAAATGAATGTGTTTTAATATGAAATTATTGGAACTTTTTGAATACATTAGAATGCTGATTACATAGTGAGCAGTAATATTTTCGAGAACTCATAGGAAATACATTATATTATTTATCACGCATGTAATGCATTACTACTTTTCCGACTGGGTTTTATTTTTTATGAAAACCAAAACATTTTCGTGGAAATGTTAGTATTCTTGAAAATCAATGCTTTCCGAACAGAAAACTCCGTTCGTCTTCAGGAGAATTCCAAGAAAAATATTCAATGGTTTATTTTACCATTTTTTAATACCAGCGATTTTTTATGGGTCCCCCATTGCATTTTTTGGGGTTTTAGGGTCCTATAAAAAATAGTTAATATTAAAAATTCGTTAAATATACAATTGGGTATTACTATTGAAAGTCTTCTAAAGAGAAACAAAGTTTTCCGATGGAAAAATATAGATTTTCAAGAGTTCTATACCACTTCTACGAAATTGGTTTTTCCCATATAAAATACAAGGAAAACTTTAAGAGCTTGAACGACCTCTGAATATTTGAACAAGGGTATATTTTTTTCGGACCACCCTTATGTATAATTCATGTATGTACTTTGGTATTTAAGGATGTCAATTATTATGAGAAATATTAATGCCGCACTCCAAGCCCAGCAAACAAAAAGCAAAAACTTATTCAACCTGGATAAAATTCTGAATATTCTATATAAGTTGAGTCCAATCTTTTTTCTTATTGCGGTTCTTGTGTAGGTATAAGCAGGGTAATAAACTCAAAAAGTTCTCGGAAAAGACTCGAAAATAATTAGAAATACGACTGAAAAATTACTCTAAAAAGGCTCACAAATGTTTACAAATACGACTAAAAAATGACTCGGAAAGGACTCGAAAATGTTTAGAAATACGACTCGGAAAAAGAGTCAAAACTGATCAGAAAAGTGGGCAATAAAAGACTTGTCAAGAAGAGTCGCGGGCAGGGTACCATTTTCAACCGACAAAAGAGTCTTTTATGATCAGAATATGAGCACATTTATGATTGTTTTAATCACGCAGAGGACCCAAAAAAAAACTAGAATATGATCAATAATTTCTGAAAATGCTGGGTTGGTAATGTAGTATGTGCGTATCTCGTTTATGAATTCGCAATAAAACTTAGATATTCAAGTTTACTGAAATTAGCAAAACGTGACACACAAATTTGGAAGCACCTGCAGGTTTGCTTATTAAATTAAAAGCTGCCTTAATAAATTGTACGTATTTATAAGTACATTCATACATACATTCAGATGTATCAAATGTACATTGTGCATATTGGATAGGGTCAAAAGATAACAAATAAGTACATATCGTCGTTTAAAGTACAAAACCGTGTATCAAGATAATGCGAAACCTCGAATGTGAAGTTGCCCAAATTTTTGCAGGAAAGCGTCAAGGCTTAGTTTAAAATGGTTCTCTGTTTTATCCCTAATAATCTCCACCTCGTATCTCTAAATATCGATCTTTAGGTACGAATGGAAAAAGCTTGATCCCAGGAGCTTCCGGTGAGCAAATCCCATTTTTAGCACAAAAGTCGCTTAAGAGATTTTGCAGGGCCACGATCCGCGGTTTTGCACTTTCAACGACGATATATTTGTATTTAATACGTACATACATTTGTATATATTCATATGTTTTTACAGCTGTATAATTGCGATCTTATTCGGCTACATAGTTCTCAAATATATTCGTTCTTCGTTCTTCGTTCTTCGCTTTGTGCGATAAATTGTAAATTTTGTTGCTATTGTTTTCCGCTTTTAGCAAATGTGTGGCAAATCCATTTATGCACTGCTCTTTCAATAAATTTTTAAGTACGTGTTTGCATGTTTTATATTTGTTTGCGTTTGGCTAAAGAATGGAGTACTCGCTATGCGAAAATGCTGGTACCTGAGTATGAAACCGCTTAAAAATATGGAGGCATTGAGAAAAATCAGTTGCAGTTGAGACAAAACGAAGTGCGATCATGGCGAAAAATAAATTCTATTATAGAAAGATAAATCTGTTAATTATTTACATACATACATATAAGTAAACAAAGTACTTATACTTTATAAGAAAACTTTTAGATATCGCTGAAACTGCTATGCCGTTTTTACAATGTAAATTAGGAGCAAGCAATCTTTGCGGAAAAATGTAATTACTGTGGTCTGATTACAGTTTATGAAAGCAACTCCTGGTCCGGAATGCCAAGCAGAGGAGAGTCTATAATTCGTAGCTCTAGATATCTATTTTTTTTTTTGCAAACTAAGCAGACCTCAGTTAATACTTAACGTAAATATTAGGTACTTAAAATAGAAATTGTTTTAATTTTTTTTTAAGTAGTTCCATCGAAGCAAATATTTACATATGGACATACTTATGTGCATTTGAATACTAATGAGAAAAAAACAACAACAATGCAAAAATGCAAATGAAATCAATAATGAAAAGGGGAGGCGAGTATTTCTAAAACCAGTTTGCTGTTTGAGTTACGCCATGTGCGCCACAAAGCGTTTTTTGATGAGCTTAATAATAATAACAATAGATTGGCGCTAACACAATGTGTTAGTGTGAGGCCGAGCTTCTCCTCCGATTTGAGGTGTGCGACTTGATGTTGACTCACAAAGGGTAAGGACCTACAGTTTTACGCCGACTCCGAACGGCGATTGTATTTTTATGAGAAACTGTTTTTCATGGCAGAATGCACTCGGAGGTTTGTCATTGCCTGCCAGGGGTGACCATTATAAGATAAGCTGATCTATACGAAAAATTCCTGTCTACTTACAATATTGCCAGGTTAAATGCGAACCAGCAGTGAAGACCACAGATTCGTACATGCTAAGGTTATGGAAACTCTTCCGAGTAATTTGCGGAAATTATACTATTATCTAGACAGCGAATTCTGTCTCTGATTTCTCATAAGCATCCCAGAGAGGAACCAATATAAAGGTATGTGCCACCGGCTAGACTCAGGGTTGGCGGCTATCTAAACAGCTGGTTCTTAGCTAAACGACAGGGTAGGTAGCGAGATTCACTTCAATGAACTCTCACTAAACCTCAGTTTTCGCTCAACTAAGCAGTTGTATGTTTTCAAACGCAGGGATGTCCTTGATACCTGCATCTCTAACGGTCTTGCAATAAAGGGGACAAAAATAGCCGTGGTGAATTCTACAAAACAAAAATGTAGAATTTGAATCATCGAGGATGTACATATATACATATCAGGTGGGCGGAGAAAACTACCTTTCACACTACAAGGCACAGCTAGTCAAAAGACGCTGAAAAGCGATCTTAAGTTCTGCCTCGACCACTTCTTTCTAAGATCAGCATTTATCCTTGCCCCGACCTGGCTAAGATGCTTAACCAATTCCTTAACGAATACTTCACTGGATTTTTTGGGCGACTTAAATTCAGTGAACTTTAACGATATTCGGGGACCAAATTGCTGAAGAAAGTAAGGAAATTAAGAACCCTCTCGTCAGTGGTATCCCCGCGGTAGCAGCTAATCTAACCTAAACTTAGTTTAGACGAACGTTTTTTACGTTTACAGAAAAAAATATTTAACTAAAGAATCAAATAATTTTGAAAACTTGTGTATATGTATTTACTCGTGTGCAAACGTAGTGTTAACTTGAACTATAACTTAAACTATGCAAACAGATCATTAGGTTTTATTGCTAGGGTATTTCTATCTGGCAAGGCCCTAACTAATGTCAATAAGAAATAAAAGAATAATAAATACTCTCTTCCGGTTGGGCACTTATACGGCGACGACGTGTTTTATTTGCTAAAAAAAAAAAAAACCATATCAAAGAATATCACAAAACTTAAAATAAGAGTATTTATATCTGGAACGTTAAATAACTGTTTTTGGAACCCTAAAAATCATGGACATTTTCTGAAAATCTACCGACCAACGAAACCCGATTATCAATTTTTTTTGGCTGATTTTCAGTCATGATATGGTGATTCAAGTGACGGAAATTATTTGTGATATGTTAACGATTATTTATATTTTTTTCTGACAGTTGGAACTACAGGCTTTGGCATGCACTTGGCCATGGAGCGATATTCAGTTGAACACCGCGTAAAAGTGATCCAAACGTTTTATGACCAGGGACGTTCTGTAAGAAGTGAATTTCGCGCATTGATACGTTTAACAAGCAAACGTTATGTTAAATCAAAGATACGTTACCAAGCAAAACTGCCGCATTCGGGGTACTAAAATCAACATACGGGTATCATTCAAGAAAATACTGTGTGAAATTTTTAATTTAATTTTTAATATTTATTAAAGAAAATCTGCGGTCGTGCACGTATGTGAGTTTTTTGATAACTGGGTCCGTTTTCATGTCCTTCATAAATAACATACTAAGGTGGTTAGAGGAATAGTTAGCGATTTTGTGGCCACTTTCCTGATTGCTGTATTTATGGGGTATCTAAGTAATTTTCGAAATATGTAGATGACTCAACGAAGCAGACACAGCGAGGATTTTTTTATGCCTACCGAGGAGCTATTGCTCACATGTAATGTTATATTATTTGGAAAAAATTGGAAATGTCACAAGCATATAGATTTTTATAATCACTCATATTCTGTCCATTTTACCTTTCCACGTTTCTTTATAGAAGGACATGTATGTATGTTTGTCACGTCACTGCCACACATTTTCACTACATATATGCATGCAAGTACATACATACATATATGTATATGTATTTCATTTGACACTCAGGACACCACTTACCTGCGCCAACTCCTTTTCAATTTGGCCAGCACGTATGACCAGCGGTCCGCGCACAGCATACTCCAATTCAATGAATTGAGGATTGATGTTGTCCAGCGACAGACATTTTTCCGCTGTAGCGGCGTTTTGCGACGATGTCGTTGACATTTCACGTTTGCCGTTGATCAAGGACACTGCTGTACGTCTACAACTCCGGCTAGTATTCGCCTGGGAAATGTTCACTAATGACGCACTAAATCAATTTGAAATAAGAAAGGCAAAATTCGTAAGTGCTTTTCACAACTTCTAAAATACTTCACAAGCTTTTGTTGCATGCGATTTGCTTCGTTCACTGCCACCTTTTTTTTTTTTTGTCAAATATATGTACTTATAGGTATGCAAAGTTGGTCTAAGGTAGCGACCAGATCAAACACCAGCGACCGACTACAACGACACAACTCTTCCAAAGCGTTTCGAACGACTGTGCATTCTATGTGCACTAATAGCCAGAAGTAGGCGGCTGATGATATGGCAAGCCGGACGTTGTGTAGTATATTTTCGAGTGGTGAATGAGAAAGAAAGTGGGCAGCAAACGAGAAATAGCAGCAACAAAAGCAGTGATATAAAACGTATGTATGTATGTATGTATGCTTGTATGTACGTTGTAGGTACGATTTAATTAAATATTTAATGAAAACACACTGAAAGAACTGATACGAAAACTATGCATTGTCAAACTCAAATGTCAAAATTTACAAATAATGATTTCTAATTGGGGTGGCTTACTTCCAATGGCGATACACGGCAGTACTGATGCGATTCATGTTTGCTGCTGCTTTGCTTTTGTGTTTGTCCTCTTCCTGTTTGTTTTGGTTTTTATAAAGTTGTTGTTATGGGAATTGAAATTGGTAAATTTTGCTATTGTGTATTTAGTGGAGGTTGGCGCTGGTGCTGTTGTTACGTTTAGTGGGGCTGGAAGTTGTTGTTAGTATAATTGGCTAGAAAACAAACAGAGAAAAGATGAAAAGAACAAAAAGAAGTTACAGTGAGAGAGTAAAGAGATATGTATGTAAGAATAAAAGAGCTTAAGTTGAGCAGAATAAATGCATTTTTTCATTGTGTTTGTATACTTTTCGCCGTTTTGGTTGTACACATTTTCTATTTAATGCAAATATGTACATACATACTTAATGACAACAATGGCTACGAAATGGCGCGTTAAGGAAATGCCAAATACTCTACACTACAATAATTATGACATTTGTTTGTCACGAAAGCTTTTAGTCATGACACGCACCATGTTCTGCTGTCGGAAATCTTCATTATTTCCATAATACGGATGGAGAGAGAAAAATAGCCGTTTGACTCTTAACAACTGAGAAAATAACAATAAAAGTTACCTACCCAGCAAACCTTTTTGTTTAGTATAAACTTGGGACCCATTTTATATTTTATGTACTAGGTTTATCAAATTTCCAACGTATATTCACAACATCATCTCGACAAGTAGCTTATAGTGTTCTTAAATTTTTTTACTCGAAGATTTTCGTAGTCATCACATTGAAAATGCCTCAAAGAAATTTCTTCTTCACTTTTTCGATTTGTCACTTTTTCTGCAAAAATTAAAACATTTGGTTCGGCGCTGCTGCTATATCAACACCTTCGCAAATAAAATACCTATGTACATATAACTTCTGCCAGAAAGTTGTTAATAATTTCGCAAATATTGTTATAAGCCAATTTGACGTCAAACCTACAAAAGTCAAAGTTTTCGGGAGAGTAAAACGACAAGTGAGCGTGTGTAAGGAAAAATAAAAAAATACTTTTGACTGGTTGACGTTTTCAAGTAAATTTGAAGTTTATTTTTATTTACTTATTTTCTTTAGTTAAAATTTGTTAACTTGTATGTTGTTTTCCGCTTTTGATTTATGAGTTGCAGTGTTGTTGGAGGGACTTTCCGGCATAAGCGTCACTAAACGTACCTTTCCTGTACCTACCGGTGCATTTATGAAATCTGCTGAGTTAAAGTGGTGAAGTAATTAGAGCGAGAAAAAAGATTTTGACACCGCCTTATTTGTAAAATTGGCTTCAAAATTTGACTATAAGGCCGTCGAATGTCAGAAAATAAAGCGAGGAAGCTGTTTTATTACTTCACCTATTTATTTCGCCATGTAACCAACCTTCAAAAAAAAAACGACATGACATTCGTAATGGCGTAACGAAATATAGGAAATAAAAGGAAAACGAGTTGAAGTTTAAAGGTTTGTTTCTCATGAGAGCAACGTCAAAATGGCTTTTACCTGTATTTATGTGCCTTGCTTTTTTATCATGGCTTATTTCATCTAGTTTTGCATATCGTATGGCAATTTCATGAAATCAAAATAACTACCAAAAAATGCGAATTTTAAAAATTTTTCGATTAAACGCATGGTTTCTCTCATTCAAAAAATATAAACTTTAGAAAAAAAAAAATTGAAACATCTTCTGCACAAAATTTAGAGTAAAAAGTCTACTTAGCATTTTTCAACTGGATGCATCGTTTTCGAAAAAAAAAATTCCAAAAAGAATGCCTCATTTATATCCAAATTATTTAAGAGTTGTAAATTATAGTTTTAAAGTATTTAAATACACTCTGTTTCGTTCCTTTTTGTGAAAAGAATACCGCTTGAAGTCGGGGTTATCATCTTTTTACCAAATTTGCTTTAATTAAATTAATCTGCGAGACCCCTCTCCACAGTTGCTGTTGAAACCATATAGAAAATCTTAAAGGCTACCAAAAGTGTTCATGCTGAAGATTTTTAATAAGGAATTTTGGATTCATTTTGAAGATCAATCTTCACTTTTGGCAAGACTGGTGACTATATGTTAAAATAAGGAATTTACCGATATTTGTGATATTAATGCAATTTCTAAAAAATCATCGCAAGCCTTATATGGAATGGCCTAAGTATGTATTTGTTTTCCACATAAAGAATTTTATCGAGCATACTTTATATTGGAAGAAAATGCACAACACCGCCAGCTAAAAAATGATTAAAAAACAATGCGATTTTCTAGAGTCTTGAAACTTTCACTTAATTTAATCGGCTAATGGTCTGCATATATACAATTTTTATAAAAATTCTGAATAAAAATTTTGAAATTTTTGGGTGTAAATGGTAAAGTTTCTTGAATTTTTATAATTTTTGGACAAAGTTTGAAATTTGGATTTATACGGTGCTGGTAATTAACATTAAATAAACAAAAAAAAAATTGCCAAAACTGATCAAAATGTCACTTAACTTAATCAGCTGGCTACAAGTGTATATTTCTTATATAGCCCCAAATATCAAATTTAAAGCGAGACTAGAACAATTTTTGTAACTATAATAGTTTTTAAGATATTCAAAAAATAAATTTGCAAAACCGGCTAAACTTTGAATTTTCGAATTGTTTTTTAAATTTCTTTCCTTTAGCAGAACTTTGTTATATGGTAAAATAAATATTTTGACAAAATTTCATCCAAATCGAAAATTATCGATTTGGCATGGATTTACCCATATGTACGCTTGTGGGCACATTTCACGGCTCAAAGGGTGATGCAATATCCCAGTCACGAATAATTGTGACGATCACGATAATAGAGAGATCTATGCCTCTTTGATGCATTATCCCCAAAAAGCCACACCTCTGAACATTGTAGGGCCGAATGTGTTTCTAGATAGATATACATATATAGATATAACAGTTACTTATTTATTACTGTAAAATACTGTTTATTTACGTAAAAGAGTAGGCATGTTTTTGAGTAGTTTTAACTTACTTATCATAAAAATAAATAAAATTAGGTATATATGTCCATTATGAAAGTTTAAGGTACAAGTTCTATTCCTTAACTATGTTTATTTCTTTTCTACAACCCATACTGATACCCACCCACAAAAGCGCAGCACTCAATATCGATCGATGCATATTAGCACATTTTCCTCTTAAGTTTTGAGTGCTCTTGAATTTTCGTTTGGACTAAAAACTACTCAGTCAATTGGATTTCTCTTGATAACAAGGAAAACCATATGTATGTATGTATGTTTATAAATGAATGAACATTAGGGTGGTCCAAAAATGCATGGAAAAAAAGTAAAGTCGGAATTTGTATGCTCTCATTGTTCTATACCGAAAAATATATACGCTTATTTTTTTATTTTGAAATCAAAAAAATATTTAGACGTCGCTCAAAGCGCCTTCCATGTATTTTATATGGGGAAAAAACAACTTCTCGTAGAAATGGTATAGAATAGTTAAAAATCAATATTTTTCTATCAGGAAACTCTGTTTATCTGCAGGAGATTCCCAATAATAATACCCAATTGTTTATTTAACCATTTTATCATCGCAATTATAATTTATAGGTCCGCCAAAACCCACAAAAACCCCGAAAAATGCAATGGGGCGACCAATAAAAAATCGTTAGTATTAAAAAATGGTTAAATAAACAATTGGGTATTATTATTGAAATTTTTATTCCTGAAGAGAACCAGAGTTTTCCGATCGAAAAATATTGATTGTCAAGAATTCTATACCATTTCAACGAAAAATTTAATATTTCCCATATAAAAATACATGGAAATCTTTGAGCGCTTTGAGCGAATCTCTAAATATTTCTTGATTTCAAAATAAAAAAAATAGGGGTATGTTTTTTCGATATAGAACAAACCTAGGGGGTGAGAGCATTACAATTCCGACTATACTGTTTTTGGACCACCCTCATGCACATATATGTAAATATGTGTGAATTTATTAGCTTGCAATTATGTTGTTTTTTAGGAAATTACAGTACTGTACATATAAAATTTACTACCATATAAATAAGATTAGGAATATGACAATCATGAAAAGATGCGAATTTGAATAAAGTTTCGCGACATGAACTCATTTTATGCTACAGTTTTAGTGTTCCGTGCATTCATAAGAGGGTTTTTGGTACCATAATTAGATTTACTGTTTCCAGTTATCATAGACCCGATAAGTTGATTCCACGAAAATCACAATTATACTAATATTTTGTAATCAGACGGAAATGCTTTTTAAAAACAATATTATAAATTAAACTGTACAACAGCCGAAACCAGCCCGGACTTCGTTAACATTTTCTGAAAGCATACCCATTCAGTAGTAAAGCACACGATGGATTTGCAAAATTTAGCTCGAGTTTTTTATTTTATAGTCTACTAAGTTTTCATATCCCTTCCTAAGTAGCTTTCAAAGAAGTGGAAAAAATGGTTCAAATTACTGTCTGCGCGAAGATAAAGGTTAAGACATACCATATAGTAAAATTTAATGGGAAATATTTTCGCAGAACTTTTCAACCCGTTAATGTAAAGAATTTTATACAAATAGGCTTGCCCAGTCCCCAATTCGTTAGCCTATTTATGAGTAGTCACTCTAAAAAAGTGCTTTTAAAAATTCGATTAATCGATTATTTCTCAATAATTGCAATTAATTGTTTTTTTCGGGCTTGTGATTAATCATATGATTAATTAATCGATTATTTT